ATACTAAAATATTACATGAAGATTGGAATGCATGGTATATTCATATACAACACTCGCAACAAAACTGTCTCAGTGTCATTATCACTATCGTTAGTATCTAGATAATCGTGACGAAAATAAGCTTACATGTGTAGATCAATAGGGTATAAGTCATGTGCAAATTAGATAACTTGAAGAGGATAGTGGGCCTTAGAAATATATTGCTTTCAGAGGTGGTAGACATTACAGGATTGATAAAGTGTAAGAGAAGGCTTGATGAATAGTTAAAAAGTCAGGGGTGAATGCAGATCGATGGGTATTTGATGTAATGGATTATTGATTGGGATAGCCATAATGCGCCAAGAGTCGCTCAAATGTTCTGATAATTAATTATTTCAAAATTAATTTATTATTCTCTGGAAAATGGTATTTAGTTCAATCAAGAAAGCAGAGGTAGTGATACATGCGTGATAAATTACGATAAATTTGATAATTCGACTAACAATATTCAGATTTCTGTTATATTACACTTTTGATACTAAGCATCAATGTAAGTTTTCATTTCTTAGTAACATTACATTTTAGTTAGTTTTTTTTTTTTTTCCATATATTAACACCTGAGAATAATATTGAAAAATTTCTTATTCCACCACACGGTTGTGCTGTTCGACAATTAAAAATGGCTGGCAAGGGTATATTAAAAAATTTTCATGAATTAATACTAATAGTAATAGTTTTAAATGCAAGTTTTTGTAATAAGTTTGCAGAATATTTAACCGATTTTTATATTTATTTTGATTGGAATATAATATGAACAGGAACGAATTACTAGTAAAGAAGTAATAAACTAATATACGATAAACGTAATTCATAGTCATACATTTTAAGTAATTAACATTGATTTAAATTTGAATTTTGTACAGTGATATTGGTAACCGAGATGTTAAGAGTAAGATGACTATAATAATATGAATAGTATAGATAATAGAAGTATCAAATGAAGACTGAAATGTCAATACCAATACTAGTATAGCAGTAAATAGCAATCCTAGCACTGTAGTGCTACTAGTAACCACTAGTAGTATTAGTAATACTAATAACTTGATGTGACCTTAGAGTCAGGTTATAATTCTGAAATGCTTTGTTTAAAAGAAAAAAGAGTGATAGAAAGTTAATAAAACTAAATTAAATATAGATTGTTTGGTTGTGTGGTATTGCATCACAATAAGACAATAATATTTAATAAAACTTTCTCTACTGGTCCTATGTAGGTTTTATGTAAGAAGAATATATTAGTATATTTATTACACACCTTTTGTACTTTCAAATGGGCTGTGAGGTCAAGTTGTTATTATCTTCTTGCTGGAAACCCATATAGGGCCTGTAAAGAAAGTTTTAATATTTAGGAATGTAAAGTTATGCACTTAAGGTAAGGAAATTTGAAAGGAGCTCATTTCTTTGTGTAAGAAACGTTGGTGTGATCATTGTTAAATCTTTTGATTAAAACCAATGTAGGTTTTGATTATTTTTAAAGGAAGTACTAACTTAAGAACAAGACCATTATTGTGATCTTGTAAAATTTTGGTGAGGCCTTATTTGAAGTATTGGATATAGTTTTAACCCATATTCTACAATATAGATATCAACATATTTGGAAGGATTTGGTGGTGGATTACTAAAATAATACTGGTCAACGAAAAATTTGCTACTGGAGAAAACCCAAGTGATTGGGTGTAATTATATGGTGTTGATTTCAAAAATGTAGTCAGAAGTTGTCCATCACCTCTAGATTTTGAGTACTTGTAATATCTCATTATTTTATCAGCACAATGTGAAATACCATGCAATGAACTCAGTACAATAAATTTATGCTGTGAAATTAAATTTATTTGGACAATTTAATGAGTAAAATCATCCATTTTTGATAACTTCAAACATTGATTGTATTGTATTGGTGTAAAATTCCAAATATATTGTTCATATATACTATTTCTTTTTGATATAATTGTTGCAAATTGCACCACTTTTGCTTCATTCTCATGTTCATCTGCTATGCCTGAGAATCATGAAACTCACACATGCTCAGTTTGCTAGAACAATCAAGAAGTCCCTCAACTGAGCATAAAAGGGGCATAGTCAGACACTTCTCTCTTCGTTCTTTTTTATTCACTCAGTTGGACACCTTGCTTCGCACACAGTCAAAACAGTCTGATCTTCTTCCTCTCATCATAGCCGTGATATAATCAAATTCTGCAAAACTGCAAAATCTTTTAAACTCTAGTTCTGTAAACATAAATGCTTTGACATTTTTTATAAAATCTTTTTAAATGCTGGCTGCCTCTAGTTAAAGTAAGTCTGAAAGTGCAAAAAATCACAAAAACAGTTTCAGCTATATTTATGGAAAATATATTACAATTTCACAAAGGAAAAACATCACACACAAGGTAAAGGTTGCTTATTACCACTATTTTGTGTGTAAAATTGGTGACCAGCAGAAACACTGGGTTCCACATGTGTATTGTACACTTTACACATCTGGCTTGACACAGTGGCTGAAAAAGAAAAGAGCAAATATGCCATTTACAGTTCCCATGATATGGTGTTAGCCCAAAGATAATCTAACTGACTGTTATTTTTGTATGACTAATGTTTCTGGATATTCAGACAAAACTAAACAATACATTAAATATCCAGATATTGCATCTGCAATGAAACCATTACCTCATAAGGATGGTCTTCTATTGCCACATCCACCAGCAAATTGGGAGACAGAAGAGTTATTCAGTGAAGAAGACAATGAATCATCTTCATCCTCTTTATCTAGTAATTTTATTCCTGTGGCACCTCAACATAAACTGCCTCATCTGATCATACAAGAAGAGCTAAATGATCTGATTCGTGACTTTTCTCTATCAGAGCAGCATGGGGAACTTCTTGGATCTTATTTAAAGCAATGGAATGTACTAACTATAGGAACAAGAGTTTCAATTTACTGAAGTCACGATCAAAGTCTTGCTTCTCACTACAGCATACAAGATACTTTGTGTTTCTATACAAATGTTGATGCACTAAAGGAAGAATGAGGTACTGAAAATCATCCTTAAGAATGGAGACTTTTTATCGACTCATGTAAAGCTAGTCTGAAAGCTGTACTTTTGCACAATGGGAACATTAAACAATCAATTCCTGTTGCTCATGCTGTAAACATGAAAGAAACTTATCAAAGCATGCAGATTATATTTCAAAAAGAAAGAATGGCCAGTGAGATAGAATTACTTTTTGAAAGTCTGATAAAAGATGTCATACAACATAGTGTTATAGGAGGAAAATCTTGCCTTACTAATCTTTTGACATATGCTGATGAGGCTACTGCCTAATTAAATGTGAATTTGGTATATTTGGATTTTCACAAAGCATTTGACATGGTGCCGCATCTCTGTAGGCGTGAGAGGTAATTGGCTCATTGGATAGAAAAGTATGTGGAAGAGAATAAAAGTCTTAACACTGATCCCTAAGGCACTCCAGTTGTGACATTAATCCAGTTTGACTAAACCCTTATTCTTTTTGGTTTAGATAAATAACCTAGATGAAGGAATGATCAATTAATTATTTAAATTTGCTGATGATATTAAGTTCTTGGGTGTTGCTGGCTGTGAAGAGATGCTGCTGCTTGACAAAAGGATTTAGATTATTTAATGGGTTGGGCAAATAGATGGCAGATGGCTTTTATTTGTAATAAATGCAAGGTAATGCGTGTGGGTTATTATAATTTTGGTAGTAATAACCCTAACAATTTTATGAATGAAAAAGATCTCCGTGCTCTCATTGATCAGTCTCATCAGAGCAGGCCCAGCATGGCCAGGTGGTAATGAAGCTTGACTTGCAATTTGTGGGTCGCAGGTTCGAATCCCCATCCCACCAAACATGCTCGCCCTTTCAGCCATGGGGCATTATAATGTGATGGTCAATCCCACTATTTGTTAGTAAAAGAGTAGCCCAAGAGTTGGCAGTGGATGGTGATGACTAGCTGCCTTCCCTCTAATCTTACACTGCTAAATTTGGGACGGTTAGCACAGATAGCCTTGTCTAGCTTTGCACGACGTTCAATAACAAACAAACAAATTCATCAGAGCAGTGTACTATTACTAGTTTTTTCTACAGAAATATTGAATACAAATCTGAAGAGGTTATGATTTCATTGTATAGGTCAGCATTTCATAAACTGGGGATCACAAGATCATAAAAAAAAACACTGTGATAACAGATATTTGTGATGTTAGAAAAACACGTAGGTTCAAGAAGTTTTGATAGAAATGAATAAAACCCCATAACCTGAGGGCATTTGAAAGATGGACCTTTCTACTTCAGGGCAAACTGATATAACAGATATTTTAGAGTATGTACAGTAACTTGCTATCCCTTTGTGTGTGTCTGGGGGTCATAACAACCTGAAATATTTTGAAAGGGGTACCTAGCAAAAACGTTTGAGAACCCATGGTAATAGTTACTGGTTAGGCTGCATTTGGAATATTTTACTCAGTCTGAGGATCCTTACCTGGAAAAGTTTCATAGCGGGGTACCTGGGATGGAAAGGTTGTCATCTAAAGACAGGTTATGACCTTTGAAATTGTTTTCTTTTGAAACACTTGAATAGTTAGAGGGGATCTGATTCAGGTGTTTAAGATTGTTGAGGGAATTTATAGTTTTGATGCATCATCTTTTTTCATACATAATAATGAAAACTGTAGGACTAGGAACACAAGAGTTTTGTCAGGGTTGTAGTCATCTTCAGCTAAGACAATTATTTTTCTAACGGGGTGGTTGGCCATTGGAATGGGTTGCAGGAAGTATTGTTGTTGGGCCACAAGTTTGGGAAATTCTGATGTATGATGATTTTGAAACAGTACTCAATCAGAAAGAGCTTGCTGCCTGGAAATCATTTAAACTGGTTGTCACAATTTTCTTAGGAAATCACAGAGATGAAAACTGTGCTGTGATGATTGATGATATGCTCGAGAACTACAGGAAAATGGGGTCTAGGATGTCAATAAAGATGCACTTTTTACACTCCAATTTAGACTTCTTTCCAAATGATCTAGGTACAGTGAGCAATGAGCATAGTGACTGCTTCAACCAATGGAACAGTGATATGAAGGACAATGGAATCCTGCAATGATGGGAGATTACTATTGGTTCTTAGAGTGTGAAACTGAGAACATACACAAAAGGTGCAACAAGTCAAGCAGATATTTTGTTACAAAAAATAATACCATGATGAAAGTTTTGAATATAGCCTGAATGTATTTTCAGTATATAATCTTATTATACTCATTGCTTGTTTTAAACTGGTATTGCTGTTATGTATTGTTTTTAAACATTCTTAAATGCACTTTTCAATGAATATGTAAAGTTATTAAAGAAAAAGTTGTTATTTTCACAATATATCAGAATAGAAAGAGATTCTATTTGTAGTTTGTAGTAGGTTGATATTAGAAATTGGGTAAAGATTAGATGGCCAAATTATACTTTATCAATTAGAAATGATTCTTTTTTTAGAAAAAAAGGTTTGGAATTACATACTTGAATATTATAGTTAACAGAGTAAAGCTATGGAAGCACGACTGCTAAGTTATTTTTTTGAAAATTACTTTTTTTGGTTAGAGCTATGAATTTGAGGTCTTAGGCTAATAATTTTAACTGAAATACTTTATTATTCTAAGGAAAGCTAGTAAGTTTGCCAGCAAGAAATGTAAACACAGTGATTTTAATAAGATTTTTTAACAAGAAAAATTTACATTTAATACATTTGGTTGTTACTGTATTATTGAAAATACATGGCTTTTTTTAGCTCTTTGTTCGATGAAGTTGATTCTACCACGTCTTCCGGTCTTTCTTTCTTACCCTTCCGCTACTCTTACAACTCATGTACAACAGAATAGTACAGCATCCAGCCCAGTTCCTACATCTGGTGTTCCTGTGAAAAAGAAACCATACTCTCCCTTTCAAGACACAAATAATGCTGCAGAATATGCACTTGCACGTATGGATGATCTTTTAAACTGGGCTCGAAAGGCAAGTTTTAATATCTTCTACAAGCATTTTAATTTTTTGTGACTTATTTTTAATTGAAAATTGATTTTCTACAATCTTTATTAACTTTAGAGATGTTGTATTGTAAATTGGATTTAAATGCATGACAGGTGCTTGATTTTATGAGGCCATCAAATAAAATTTCAGATTGAGTACTTGTAATCATTAATCTTTATTATACAAGTATAGAATATTAATAGAGGTCATACTAACATTCTAAAATGCCAAACAATTTGTGCACCATCTTTGGGGAGTTGCTTTCAAATACTTAACTATTGTTTCATGTACAAATTGAATGGAATCATGCCATTTTGCAGAGATAAACACATGACTATACATAACTCCTTGACCTTTTGGCTTGAATCTTATAGCTGTCAAAATGAACTCACTGAACCATATATTGGTCACAATTTATGGTTTGTCACATATTCCATGATAAATTACACATGTGACTCATATTTGCAGTTTTTAGACAATAAGAAGTCAGTATATGTGCGTGAATTTCACTAATTTCATTGAAATTCAACCCAAAGTGTGTCATGTATATTGTGCACTGATTTTCTGAAACACCAACCTTGTGTTTTAAACTGTTTGCATGAAGCACCTGTTCATTAATTGTGACTATTCATCAGTGCTGTAAATAAATATAAATCTGGACTACATCTTGCTCAAAGTCGACAATAACTTGCATAGCTCACCAGAAAAAATATAACCCTGATCAAAATTTAAATTCAGAAATGCTAACACTGCACCACTAAGAGCTACTACCTTCAGGTTTCTCACTAGAGTCTCACAGTGAAGGGTCCTGGACTATCAACTTTCTTTTTTCAAGAGTCCAAATACATGTGTCTACATGTACTGTGCCAGCCTATGATGTAACAACACAAGGCTGTAGCACTTCTCCAATAGGAGGGTAACACAACTTCCATGTGCAGTAATCCTCATGAGTCACTGTCATAAGCTCATTCCTTCCTCAACATTGGTCATGTTCAGACACAATTGTTTCCTGTGCCTTTAGTTTCCTGTCATTTTGATTAACTCCTTTTCTTTGTTTAGTGTTATCTTTGTTCATGTTACATTTTTGTTCTATCTACCTCGCTGTAACTTCATTTTTTCTTTAGCCACCATGTTTTTTCTCATTACTATTTATAAGGAAAATTTGCTCATGGATTGCTGATTTACTATGAATTTTCAAATCCATGCTGTTTCTATGTCCCAAGGCCTAGATGTTCCTCCTCTGAAATCTTATATGCTTGTATCAGTAGCAACTGGAGGCACATCATCTGTTCATGATGTTACTGTTATTGTGCATCAGGTGGTTTGTTCTTTTTACCCAGTACTTTTCAAGTTCAGGTCCCCAATTGTTCTGTATCATTGCATTCTATGAAAGTATTCTAACTGACGAGGAACAGGTACCTCCTCTTCCTTTGTTTGCTGTGCTTATTACTCATTTGTATTGCATTCTATTTCCTTCAGTGGTTCTAATGACTTAGGTTCCCTTATTTCATTAGCATTTGTCTGCTTTCTCTCCTCCCCACCTCTCCAGATATTTGTGCCTACACTGATGCCATTTTATCATAACGTCTTGTTGATCAATATTTTTCTTATCCACCACATTTTCGTGGCACCTTTTATGTTTATTGAACACAGTCTCTTCTTTCTATTTGGTGTGCTCCTTTTTCTCCTTCTTTGTTTCTTTCTTTCCAGCAATCTGTTAATCTCTGCCTTACCTTTGCCTAACTTCTTTGCTATATCTCTGCCCTTCACCTCCTCACCAAGACATGACCCAGATAGTCTTATAGGGAATACACATTCTAATTTGTTTGCCATCTTTGCTTCTGTTTCTGTTTTGACTTGGTTTTTGTTTGTTTTTTGGATTGCATTCGGAATATTTTTTCCTTTCAGGTGCCCATTTCCCTTCCTCCTATATCTATGAATTTTGTCTTTCTCCTTTACTTACAAACAAAGGTTTTGCAGGTGTTTTTGACTCCTTAGTATTTCAGGATGAGGCTGATCACCAGCAATCTTCTATTTTTTTTCCCTGGTTTCTTGGATCATTAGATCAAAGGTACGTCAGTCTGCTATCCATCCTTGAGAGTCATATTGGGTTAATTGGGTTTGCTGTCCTTTTCTCCTGCAGGGCAGACCATTGCAGTTCTTGTGGCTGACTCTTCTTTGGAGCTGATTCTGGGCTCTATGTGTTCCCCTCAGTTGGTTCTGGGAGATCAATAGAACATGTCCTCTGATTCCTTATCTGCCCTTGTGTCTCTCCCTTACACTCTGCATCCCAGGCACTAATCCCTTCTATTCACCTGTTTTCATGGGCCTCATAACCCGTTACCTACCATGGCCATTTTGTCTTATCGTGAGGGCAAAATCACATTTGTGAATTAAAACAATTATATAGAACTTATCTTTTATTGGATTTCAGATTTTATTTTTGTAAATAGCAGCATAACATTCAATTATTTGTACAAAATCGTATTATTTAATGAAGTTTAAAGAGGAATTTAATGAAAAAAATCCTAAAATATATTTTAGACTGTGAATAAGCTCCATCTAAGAAGAAAATTGTTTTTTACAAAAAAAAAAAAAATTTTTCCTTTCACTTCAGCAATGGTCCTGCCATCTATGATTGGTATCTAAACCTTTTTCTAGTCTGTTTTCTTTATAAAACAGCGTCTGGGTGTGTTAAACCTCAGTTGTAAAACTTCTAGTCGAAGGTGTCAATTTCAGTACCATGTTATTCCAGTCGCTATATTTCACGTTTGACAAATCATAGGATGATAAGGAAAGCACGTGACGAAACGTTGTTCTCTGGATTTTACAATATGAATGTGGGTGGTGCTTATTATAGTAACTGCCATTTTATGTAGAGGTTGTATTTAGTATTGGCCAATAGGGCTTTTCTATAAGCATTAGAAAACTAGCTTCTGGAAAAAAGTGCATGGGTTGTACGTGGCTTTTATTATTTTTATATAGTAGCTTAATTCATGCTGCATTGTATATCTATTTGTATTAATCATTATATTGAAAAATTAACTCAAAATAGATATATTTTTTAGGAAAGAAGTTGATCCACAATTGTTAGGGTTAATGAGCTATCGAATGGCGAGTGCAAGGTCTTTACATGAATTAGGCTTAGCACTTTGAACTGAAAGAGTTTGTGATTTTTATATTCTTTTGCATTTAAATTTGTAGTTTTAAGTTCAATAAGTTAGCGTAATTTTATATTTAGTTCATAATAATAATAATAATAATATGATTCAGTATTTAGAATGATAAACTTGTGTGATTTGTACGTAATATTACTAGTACCAGTACCACATAAGAATTTTACATTTTTCCTTCTTACAATCTTTACTTTGTAGTAAGACCCACACTTCTGTTGTTATTGCTTTAGAATTAAAAC